CCATATGCATACTTATACTTTTTAAAGTTAAAATAGTATCACAGTGCATTCAGTTTTGTTGATAATGAAACAGTTTCATAAAAAAATAATTTTACAATGTTTTTCTCTTTTTTTCTAATTATATTCAGAAATATATCCATAACTATGTTGGATCTTCTTGAAGATTTGGATAAAGTTCTTGCTACAGACAAACATTTTCTTCTCGGAAACTGGATAGAAAGTGCTAAATCGTTAGGAACGGATGTTAAGGTAAGACTAAGATGGGTAACAGTATGTTACTAATACATGTTTAAAAGTTTATTTACCAAGTTTGCCTTTCACTATTATTTGTAACATCATATTTAAGAAAATGTTTTCACCCAACTATCTTTTTGTTTTCATTGTAACTCATATTACAGTAGTGTTACCAGATTCGGGGAGAAAATATGGGTAAACTGTGTATGGGGTATTTATTTTTCTTACTTAGGGTACTGAGGTGTATTTTTGGAGAGTTTCTGTATACGTTACACCTTCATGATGACAAATCCTGATTCAGCTTTTATAAAAATTAAAGTACAGTCAGTGTATAACACTTCAATATACTGAACTTTATTATACTGACAGAACTATAATTAACTTCTGATCAGAGCAAGCTATCTACATAAATCAGAACTAAAAAGTAATCCAGTAATAAATATATCGATCTCTACTTATAATAATCAGTGTGTACTTGTTCATCAGCTGAGTATCGTAACTGTTACGATATTTTTGGGCATAATTTCAGTGATATTTTATTAAGTTAGCCACCGTAAGATAATTATGGTTAATCACAGATGCATTTACTAAGCCAACAATGCAAAATAATCCTTTCAATAAAATATATTTATATTTAAGATTTCAACTACAACTAATACTGCTATGGATTGCTAGTTTTCATGCTTCTGTTAGCTACGCAGTAAGATGGTCTCTTGTTCCTGCTTTCTCTCAATGCAGATCAAAACAAGACATCATAATACTGATAATTAAATTCCCTCATTAAGAAATACTTGTCGCTTTTAACAAAAAACCTTTACTAGTTTATTATACAGAGGGTTTACTGTACTTTATAAGCCATTCAGGTAGAAAACGTGGAAATAAATTTGTCTCGAGATAAATTTATCAGAGCAGTGCCATTCTCATGGGAAGCTATGATTGACTGTGATCATCTTCCCATGATATGCAGTTGTCTTGACAATTCACACTTCCAGTCTTTTTAGCAAGCAAGATAATCTTGCATCTACAGCCAATGAGGACAGCCTGAGTGTGAGACAAAAGAAAAGAAAATGTCAGGAGTTGTAATATCAAATTAAAATTATTAATATTGTATATCCATATACGAACATTTAATGTCATGCTGTTAAAGAACATGAGGTGTATGTATGTTTGTGGGGGAGGACCTGCTAAAAATAGAGTAATTTGTTTTTGTTGTAATAATGATGCTACATAGTTTCAAAGCCATAGCTTGTTTATGATTTCATAGTAGAATCCTTTGTTTTGTAATGTAATATTCAATTATCTTTTAGTCGAATTCCAATATCACTTGCTTGACATTTTTAGTCATACTGCTCTAAGTTGCACAATCCATTCATATTAATATACATACATTTAGCTCACTCTCTAAAGACATTCAGTATTGGGGATAAATTTTGGGGTTTGTTTTCAAGGTTATCATGGTAAACATAGCTATATACAGCTGCAGTAGTGAAAGTTGAAGAATCCAGAGATTTATCCCAGAACTGCTATAAAAAAAAGTTATTTCACTAAGAATATGAGGTAGTCATGTGACTTATGCAATATATAACTACCAGAAAACTTGGAATTCCCCACGGATGTATTATACTCCAGGCAACTACACGTATGCGGAAATATAGGGAAAATAGTATATACATAGATTGTATGGCAAAGCGCATACATACAAACAGATAGCATAGGCAGATGTAGCACGATGCAGCGAAAGGGTTAATATTACACTTGCATTATGGTAAGTATAATTACAGTAACTTTATAGATATTTACATGGCTCTGGATTATACCTTTATTTATGTAAGTTTGTCAAAATGTTTTTTTAATACTTATTCTCTCCACTAGGATTATGTGAATTCAAGTGGATAAGGACATCAAAACCAGAAGTAATTTTAGATATTAAGTTGTTCATTCATAAGGAATTTGACAGACTTTTAAGAAAATATAAGTTAAGTTACTTTGATATTGTTAAATTGTGGTTGGAATTTTTTGTTAAATTTTTTTAGAAGAAAGGAGTTTATAGTGCTGCTGGTGAACAGAATTGTATAAGAAATTATAAACACTTTTACAGACTGTATTTACAATATAAATGTTTATATTGTATCTCGGTAACAGTGTGAATATGTTAAGACTATTAAGTTGATCCTCATAAATACTGATGATACATTTTGAATGTATCTGTTGCAGGAACGAAAACTGTATGAATACAATGCTCGAAACCAAGTTACTCTTTGGGGACCAAATGGAGAAGTAAGGTTTTTTGTTTTTTTTTTGCAAGTACCAAATATTTAACACACACACACACAAATAGGATTTTAAAAACAAAAGGTACAGAAATCTGTTTTATTTTGAGATTTTAATGTTTTTATTTTTCATAACAGTCTAAAAGAACTATTGTTGTGTTGAATTAGCTAAATATTTAGGCATCTGACAACAATGAGCCTCTTAGTACACAAAAGAAAAACAATAAAACAATTTTCTTTACAATTCTGTGGCAATGCTTCATTTTCAGATTGTAGCTTAAATGCAGTGTTCATTTCTTCCAATTGATCAATATCACTGCTTTCTTCCTCATTAGTTATATTATCTTCTCCCAACCCCTAGACTATGGCTCTACATGATATACTTGTATTATTGGAATGAGATCTGTAGTAGAATCTCTGTTTGACGTGTGAAACAATTTTTATTATATTATTGTTAATTTAACCTTAACTAACATAAAGAGACCCTTAATTTTACATTTTAGTAACTTTTATAATAATAAATAAAGTACTTACCTGGGTCTTCTTTTTTTGCTGTTGACTGTCAATAACACTTAACCCTACTTTTTTTTTTTATACTAATGGTAGTAAAGCATTAAATAATGCACCTAAGAACATAGAATAAAAACAGACAATTTCTACTAATTATCACACTTTTTCTGGCTTTCTAACTCAGTGACAAGAGTCGTTAACTTTCACGTGGGAAAATATTTGCACTCTGAATGAAATTGACAATTCTCTGTTCAGAAAACAACACGATATAATACATCATTTGATAGATGAAAACCTTGGCTTTCTATTTGTAATACATAATATAGAATTGAACTTGAATGAGAAGATGTGAAAAGAAGGGCCTGATTTTTCTATTTGAAGGCTATAAAGAATTATGGTTTGTCTGAGCAATGACGATTTTATAGTGAGTAATTTACATTAAATTTTGTACATATTGGAGGGGTAGTGAACAAAATAGAGAAAGTGTCACATTTCTCACACTAGGGAAATTCAGGATTTTTGAAAATAT